CAAAGCGAGTCTGGCTTCCAGTCATGTTTTATTAGATCATATGTGAATGAATTGTAATTTTGATGATGAATGATGCTATTATGCTTACGTAAGCAATTTGGTGGAAATGTGTTTCTTTTTCGCAGAAAGAGCACTGATTAACCATGTCCTAAGGGTAAAACATTGAATTCATTTGTTTAATTTTTATATTTATTTTAGATGACGTTTCAAGTTAAATCGATTGTAAAGATTGACAGAAAGCAATTTACGTTTAAATGATAGACAGCATAACCGAAGACATGACGTAAGTTGTTATGTAGTATGAAATCAAAGCGCTGTAAGCACTTTCAAAGCGCTGAAAGCACTGGAAACCAACTAGTATTTATGCACGTGTAAAAATTCGAGATTATCCAAGAACTTTCAAATGGAAAATTGCCTGGTTTTGAAATGTTCTTATTGTATTCAAATTACGTTTTCTTGATATTACTATTATTTATCAAAGTATTATATATAGTGTTTGGATTACTTGTCACACACCTTAATATCTTTCTTAATATATGAACTGAAATGTACTTGTAATTAAGAATGATTTCAATTTTCATTCCTACGATGTAAGAAAGTTGCTGGAGAATGCCTCTTTTTGATATGTTTTACAATTTAAAATGTATTTAAAACATCTAACTACGCTCAAACGCCGTTTATAGATCGGGAAATTTTCATTTTCATATTGTTAAAATTTTCAGATTTATTAAACTGTATAATTATGTGATCACTAGTACTATTTCAACATTCCTTTAAAAGCATCTTTTTCTATAATTAGGCAACGAATCTTGGTTTGTTTTAAGGACAACAGACTTATAAAATAGGTGGGGTAGGGTTTTATGCGTTAGTTACGCTGTAGAAATATGGCGATAAATACTGCAAAATCTGTTTTCAACAAATCGCGCATATTTACTCGAATCTTGAATCTTTTTTTCTTTTCTTCTTTTCTTAAGATCTTACTCCGTTTCCCCAGTTTGATACTCTAGAAATAATTTGGCGCATCTGGAGGCATGTTGCTTAAAGATAAAACGGTGACAAATACTGATTTCACTGAATGCGATTGTCACTCAACATTTAAGGGTGGGTTACCCGAGATTAAGTCAGGTTGCCCGAAACACACAATATATTTTAGGCCTTTCGTTAATATTTGTTATGTATATGAATATATCGTTTACAGTTCCACATAAATCATTGTCATAAAATATTTGTATTGGAATAATTTACATTCATTTTGTTCATTATTGTTTCAGCAACTTCACAAAAAGAAATATTGTTTATTTTTTACGCGAAATAACACGACAAATAACTTAGAATTGAGAGGTCGGCAACCACGGCAACCACAAATTTTTGTTTCATAATATGCAAAGTTAAAATATATATTATTATATTGTTTTCAATCTCCTGTAACACACGCACAATATGGTCCGCTTTGGAAAAATCTACCTTGAAACAAATTTTCAAATATATGTGGTTATTTATTTTATTTTTACGTTTGTAGTAGCAACAGAGATATAACCAAATTAAATTAGTTTATTTCGTTGGTGCATAATAACTGAAGTATTATTCGAATGATATCAGCTTTACAAGAAACGGTGCACCGTGCATTATGACACAATCGTAATATTTAGACGATAGCATACGCCTTTAAAGTGATGTAACTTTTATATGTTAGTCTTCATAACAATCATACTATACTAATGTAATAATATAAGTTAAGAGTGACACAATCGTGTGTCTGTTAGATCTATGGTAATTGGTACATTACAAATACATACATCTTATGAACTTTAATATGAAAGCTTTCTATCATATTTTCTTCTGACATTGATTTAAACTGTTAAACGCAATCTGACACACGTTTCCCCGGGATACAACTTTTCAAAATGACAATAAAAATTATACAATAAAGTAAAGAGAAGAATAAATTTACAAATATGCAGCTTTATTTTGAGTAATCTGTCAAATGAAGCCACATTTCTTCAGGGTTAATAGGACATTAGCTTAGTAACCTATCAAAATATACATGTAAGGTTAAAAGTTTAAAAACATTATACAATGCTAAAATAATGCTTACATAACATTAGTTTATCTTTTTTTTTATTCTGTTTTATAGTTTTAAGAGTATGACTTTGACAAAATGTTTTAAACTACCGGAAATCGTAGTAGTTTCTTTGGCCGTGTGGTTTATAACGTATTTTAGTACAAACGTTCTTTTAATTATCTAATTATTAATTTTTTTAGCTAATGTACACATATATCGTTTTCTTTTGAAGTTTGCAAACAGTTTCTTTGAAAATTCAGAAATTCTGAATAACAAATATAGGTAGAGATCAAGATTTGTTTCCCCTCGAAGAGGTTCCATAATTGCACTTCCAGAGGAGATTTTGAATTTAACTAGTTTTTCCAAAGGATGTCACAAGTAATATTTTTGCGCGATTTTCACTACTTTTGCGTGGTATTCACTAAAATTATAATTTTATATCAAAATCTAAGATGTGCTCCGCACACTAACCAAATCCAAGAGTTGTACAGTGTGGAGGGAGGTGGGGGGGGGGGTAGTTATGTTCCTTACCCCATTCCCCTTTCAAATTAAAAAAAAATATTGCAATGAAATGTTAAGAGAATAAGATTGTAAAATAGTTATATTTTGTATCATCTGATTATGTTGAATACATTTAGGAAGTTAATAAGGTTTGAATGTTTATTAGGGTTTAACGGCACACTGACACATTACTGGCCATACCACATCAACCACTAATTATTATATTAATATACTTAAAGATCCTGTATTGTTACCACACTTAAAGTGATATTTTATAAACATTGTATATGTATATAATCATGCTTCTAAAACAATTTTCAAACATCAAAGAATATGTATAATATGTACTGCAAATATTTGTGTACATTATATGTAATCATAAAAATATATGCATTCATTTCTTATTGGAAAACTTGACTCAGACTTTATAGAAAATAAATTTCTAATTACCCCCCTTTATTAACTTGAAATGTTAATTCGGTAATATCTTTAAAAATAATGCTTTTTGAAACTTATAATATAGAGAAATCTTCATTTGAGCATTATTTTATGATATAAAATCATAAAAAAATGAGTTACAGAATCTTTAAAATGAGTTCATACAAGTTTATAAAACATGTTGGATAAATCTCTCAGAAGACAAGTTTACTTCCTTTAAGTAATCGATCAGGGTTTTGAATGGAGCTGAGGCAAAAAAGATCTCTTAGTGAATGTATTGTAATATACTGAATTTGTCGCAGTCCTGTGCAAGACTGTTCAAGATTGAAATGTTTGACGTTGAAATTATTATCACAAGCTGTAAAAATGGGACATCGTCTCTAGACTGTGTCCGGTACGATATCTTGTACGACATACGATTCATGACGGTTTAGAAGAGATAGAGATGACGATACGTCAAGACAGAAGTTGATATCATGAACTTTTTTAAATACGGGTTGCCCCAATTCGAATTCTATTCAGTTGATATTTTAAGTAAATTAACGGAAGGTTTAAAATGTTATTTTGTAACGTATTTCTACTAATAATTCTTTAGCCTAAGTATCAACCTTTTTGATTTCCTCGTATTCTTGAGTGGCTTGGGAGCCTACATAATTGGAATGACAGTTTTTGTAAGACATTATGCAATCGCAACAGATGTTTCTTGATCATTATATTACAAGTGCAATTATTTTTTACATCACAAATTGATTACATTTTTTCTTCGAAATGTATGACAATGTCACACCAAGGGCTTTTGCTTCAGCAGTAAAGATGGATTCATTATCAGGTAGTCTTCATTCTAGATGTAAAATTATTTACAAAGCAATCCAATACCGTATTTTATAGAAAATTGTTTACACAAACCATCTTTATATAACCGCTTCTCGGATTATCGAAATGTAAAATATTTGGACAGATGTCTGCATTTGAATAAAATGTAATCCAAGAAATATTTTAACTTTAGACGGATGCGTTTATGTACGTTTATGTAATCTATTTTGGTGGATTGGAAAACAAAGCAATCGTACATACACATGAGTTACTTTTGAAGCTGAAAAGGGCTTATTTTTTCTGATTTGTTTTTCTTGCTTTTTAAAGATTTATCCATAGTTAGATATATCTTTGCGTTTCATCGTATCATTATTAATCTGTTGCATGCTTGGATGGTTATCGTCTGTTACATAATTTTGTCGTCTGCTTGATTTATGGATTTTATCTATATTTTTCTAAGTAACAAATAAAGGATGACTGTCACTTTGCTTGGCACCTGACAAGACACTGAAATAATCGGCATCTGTTCTTATACCAGTCTATTTGCAAATAGTCCTAGCAGGATTGGGACTCTTTGAACGTGACCTTGTCTTGTTGAACATTGTCTTTATTTTTCAGTTTATGAGTTATTTAAAAGCTAGAAACATTTTGAGAAATATATTCAAAGGGTACATGTAACGATTTAAGAGTTATATACACATACACTTTTAAGTGACATTCTTTGTAGTAAGATTTTATTAGATCTCAGAAATTTCATGATGATATTCCGCCAAGTTACGGCCTAATTTACCGCATTTAATGGCCACCTAGTAATGTCTATTTTATATAGTTACCAAAATACAGTAGGTTTCTTAAGATAAAAATTACTTTCATACGATTAATTTTTCTTTTTGCAAGAATGTATTTCAGACAAACGTTCAAACATTATGTGTAAAATATGAAAGAGAAGACCAAAATGTGAGAGAAACGCTCACGGAACGCAGTCACGGACAACATAGATTCACAAGAATCACTCGAAAGGCTTGGCTCCCAGTTGGGCACCGAACAGAAAATGGCAAAGACTTTTAAATGCAATATACTTATTTATAATTATATACACATGTCTATTTATCCTGTTCCAAAATTTTAATATAAAATCTATAAACAAAAACATACAAGAAATTTTTTTTTTCATGTTTTATTTATTTATATAAAACATCTAACAACAAAATCCCATACAAAGCAATACTGTCATTTATAAACTTATCAAATTAAATCATTTATAACATATAAAGTAGAGTCAAGGGGAAATCATTCTTATCTACTGAATACTAATGTACGTAATTGATAAAACACCTGTTTATTACTATTTTGTAGAATGGCACAATCTAAAGACTAAATTACCATTACACGACAAACTATAGGGCTTTTGAATGTACTAGTTTTAAAAACATATTTAAAATACTAAAATAAATAAGGTGTAACAAAATATCAAAATTTCGTTTTCTTTCAAACATTTAGTTTACTCTAGCCCTTGGGCCAACACCTAGCCAACCTACAAAATCACTATACGGTCCGCGATCGGCTGTTCTTGGGTCGATGATCGGGTCGCCGCTGTCATCAGTATTACGAGCTTCCGTTCTGCCGCTCTTGTGAGACCAGTAACCGTTGTTATCTAACCTATAGAAATGATAATCCTCACCCGGCCAGACGACGAGGGCTATAAGACATTCGGTACCAGCATCTGGTGCCCTCAGACCGGTGAGTCCGTCCCTCAGACAGGCCGAGTAAACTTCACCTCCAACGTTTTCTCTGTATCTTCTTCCAGATGCCCTACCTGTAAACATTAGACAACATTTTTATGATCAATTCCGTTTAAGAAGTAATCACATCATTGCTAAAACTCAATTGGAACTATTTATTAAAATGATTTATTTTATGATATTGAAAGTAAAATGAAATTATAATGTTATTCCCAGTATATGAGAGTAATCTCTAGATCACAATGACAACGAAAATTATACATGGAGTTGAAACATTGGAGAGTCTTTATTAGTGTGTATATTCATAAGAGATAATGATATGCGCAGCGTCCCTCATGCCCCCTAGCACCGTTTGGAGCAGTGATTCTAAATTCAAAGTTGTTTCTTACAATTGAAATTATACTGTACTCATTATTGATATTACTAGTGAAAAGATGGAATGCTTTAATCAGTGAAAGGGAACAATTATATGTAAAATTAAAGCGATTTGATATTTTGTATGGTATTCAAAATACTACATTGTTTACAATTTGCTACTTTTATGACAAACAAGTTCGTTTTAAGCACTACTTTCTTTGTGTGATTAGCAACATGCTCTAGAACAATATCATAACGTTTTAAAACTCTTGATTCGTTTCCAAGGCATAGTGTGTTTTGAAAGTAAATTACTTACCTGGCTGTGCAAATGTGTTTGTCTGTATGTTTGTGGCATAGTTGTAGCAGTTATTGCGTCTTTGGATGGGGTCTATATTCCAGTTCTCAGGCTGGAAACGTGTTGAGCAGACACGAGCAGCCTGGCGTTTCTTTCTGTAAAGTCTTTGCTTTATGATCACGTGGCTACTTTCGTCATCATTGTTCGTTGTTATGGAAACACGTGCGATAGGCTGTCTCACAATTTTTGATATTGGTGAATTTGGAAGAACTTTTCTACGGTACTGAAACAAGATAAAGACATGCTCAAAATTAATGATTAATCAAGCATATTTTTACTAATTCAAAGCTTATTGACATAATGCCATAATGGTTATCGAATTCATGCTTCGAAGCATAAGATAATGTCAAGGTTATAATTCATAAATGGACAGCATGCGAACCTATAGAAAATAGAAGACAAATGTTTACACGTATGTGAATAATAAAAAGGGAAAATCTTGAACGTCGTATATTAAGCATTGCCAAATTGATTTGTTTAAGCTTGATATAAGAAAGTATTTTTTGTGCAAGCTTTCGTCCACGCCCCCCCCCCGAGCACCGGGTAAGACATGCAATATTTTATTTCGCCATAATTGTGTAGCTGTATAACTAAAATGATACATTCTGATCGAGATCTTAAAAGCCTTTTAAAGCATTATAAAGATTACATTACTAAGCATACAGGCGTTTAAATTATTGCGTTTGGTTTTTATTTGGGTTTTATTAATGTATAACATGCGTTTGTAAATGTAACTCCTTGTGCATTGTGACGTTTACTTTGTTTGTATGTGACATCTTGCCTGGTTTTAAATATGTAAATCTTTTAGCAACATTGTCGACTTTCAATTTGGTTTTATTTTAGCTTGAATTACCACAACCGTAACTTTATCCCTTTTGCCGTTTTGGCGTTATCAAGTGACTTTTTTTCGTGTTTTTTTCTATTTTCTTGCATTGGTTGGACAAAAAGCATTTTATGTTTCCGGACCAGTGAAAGACCATCCTGTTTCTCTATATTCTTAATGTTGATTCAAATACCTTACTGTATAGTTGTATAGCCATAACAAGCAAAACATTTTATTTCTTATGATATTTAAAATACAAATTTTCACTTTAAGATAAAGTAAATTGAAGCCCAAATAAAGATCATTTTTCCTCACTGAAGGAAGAAATACAAGAAAGAATGACAAAAATGAATACATCTTTGTCAAAAATCGGGCAAGAATCCGATTAAGGAAATAATTACCCTTGCTATAAGTTCACTTTATCAATAAATCATTTTGAACTTTTTATTATCATCATCATTGTAATTATTACTATTGTACCTATAATAAGTGACAACACCTGTGTATGTTCCTTCTTCAATACCATTTACATATATTATACAACAATGATTTATGTTCAAGAAGTTGAGAAAAACAAAATACATGCTTACTGTATAGTATATATATAACTTTTTGCTCAGTATAATTTTAAACTAATATATTAAATTTGTACAGTTTCCTTTGACATTTTCGTTATTAAAGGTTAAGTTATTTTCATAAAAGAAACGAAGTGGTCATTAATTTTATTGTTGCATACATAAAACGCCTTTAAAAAAGATATAAATTATTTTGTGTGTATGGTTTATTTTCAGCAAAATGAAACTGTCAAATGTATGACAAATTTGACAGTTTGACAGCTTACTTGACAGGTCAACACAGCTGCACATATTATCCGACAAGTAATAAGCAACTCATTCGGCAAAAGTCCTTCAAAACTCAAAAAAATACAAATGTACAACAAGAGTGTTGCATAATTGATGCAATGTTAAAACCGAAGCGTACAGTACTCATACTTAATATTCGTGTGTTTTAGGCATTTAAGTGTGATAAAACAATAATTTTTTTGCAAAATACCTTTGTCATCACGAATCTGTATATATTAGTAACATTTATTGCATATCATATGGGAAAACGCTTTTTAGGGCAATGTTCGCTGAAACTGGGACATGTGGTGTCAATGTAGGTGTCAAATTCACACATACGAATACTGAAAGTGCATGGTCAAAAGATGACATCCCGTTTTCGATAAGGAATTCGATATTATAGATGATATATTAACACAAGCGTGAAGAAGAAATATTTATATAAATATAACCGAAATACAAAAGAATAAGGTGAAACAAATGATATGTAGACACTCATAAGCTTGTGTGGCTTTCTGTGCCATCCCAAAACGTATTTTGTAAATATTGTCCACATGCAAAATGTAATTGTGTTGAAAAAAATGTTTAAACTTAAATAGAATTGAAATGAATTTTATAAGACATATTACGTTACAAATATAATTGCTTGTTGTATAAAATAAAAAAATATTTTCATATCGTCAAAGCAGATCAATTTTGAAAAAACTGCGATAAATATAATATTTGAGTAATGAGATAAATTCACGTCCAACATCCTGTTTTTTTATACTTTATTAATATCACCTCGTGATTTATGCTGACTTTAGTGAAAATTGTTGAAATAATTTGAAATGTGGCAAAGTGTGCAAAGTAAGTCTTAGTACTTACCTTCCACAGAAAAAAACTTATGAGAGAATAGTGTCTCCTCTTATTCTGTTAGTAACGTGGGTATAATTTTTGTCGTGAAAATAACAATTTCTGTCATATATTACATTCAACGTTTCACATGGATTGTAAATATTTATAAATTCTCTATAAGTTAACTTTTTTATATAATCTGTCTATTTTTAAACTTTAAAGTCACAGGTATGTATATTGGTAGCTTTCACTTTACCATGCTTATTTATTATCTAAACATGATAAACATGAACAAAGTATCATCATGCTTTGATTTGAAGCAAAATACAAACATATGAAACTACATTTAGAACAAAGGATGTAAGAATTGAACTTAGGACACGTGTACAAAATGAATGAAAAACTTGTAAAACAACAGCAAAATTATTTACAAGAAAACAAATTTGTTTTTTTTTTGTGTAAAATATTTGCAACCAATCAGAATCATTGTAAAAGTAATATTATATACACTATAGGATAGTCTTTCCGTATACAACAGAAAAAACAACAACAATAGTACAATAGTTTTACCTTTACAAGCTTTCATGTATGTAAAAGTTAAGTTGTTCATATGGTAGTATTGTTTGTTTAACGAAGAAACACTTGTATTGCATGATGTACTAACATATGTTACAAGCCTTTCCCACGTCGTGGTAGTATTTTTGATAATTCATGTAAATCAACTTGCTTGTACGATGATATTTGATCGACCTTTTTAGATCAAACAAACTTCTTGATATTAACATGTTAAGTTTGCACGAGGATATTTGATTGACCTTTATAAATCAAATTTTGGCAGACGAATATTGCATAACAACAATGTTCTTAAGTAAATGATGAATGCTATTGAAGCGGTGCCTGGGAGGGGTCAGTACCATTGTCGCCAATTTAAAATGGTCCATTTAACCGTGTTTGCAACTTTTATCATTTTTTCCCATAAGAATAATATTGGACGACTTTAAGTTTCCCATTTTAACTAAATGTACTGTAAGGGTGTATTGTTTTGGTGAATAATGCATGACAGTTTTCCTGATTGAATTCCAGTTTCTGTTTCGTATAGTGGGTTTTGCTTTGATTCAATCTATAAGTACATCTTATTCCACCACAGCTTTTTTCTATCGGAGTGTATGTTTACTGTATTTTGATAGTTGGTTTACATTTTATTAATGTCTCTTTGGGTCCCTGCTTTTACTTTAGTAAATCACATAAATTGCAAAACGTATATTGCACACGGCTTTAAAGATTTAATTCCTTTGAACTTTCTTTAAGCATGTATTTGTTACACTAAGATCACGTTTAATTGCCAAATGGTTGTATAAAACATAACTTCCGTGATTCAAACAGAATTAAACGTTACCGTAAGTGGAAGGTACGTAATTAATTTGTCATGTCTGTTTTATCACAAAGGAAGTTCTGTCTACCAGAAATATTTACACATTCGAACCTCACAAAGCTTTTTACCAATTTTTTTTCTTGTTATTATTGCTGCTGGGTGTGTACATACATGGTATTTTATCGGCTTACCAGCATTTAAATGCAAGAGGAAATTGGAATGAAAAAAAAAAGAATACAAAAAATAACTTTTTACCTGGCCGACTATTCCAGAATAAACATGGTTCATTACAGATTGGCTGAGACCCTCAGAACTTGGGCAAGACCTTAGAAGGATGGACTCTAATCGACGGTTTGTGTGGCGGCCAATTGTTTTCCATGCCCTCTGTCCCATTGCGTTTGTTGCCTCAACTACGAAGCCCTCGTATCCGAGGCTATCATCCATTCTGAAAGAAAACACAGTATCGTTATACAGAAGATCTTGAATTATACAGCAATTGAATATATCTGTTGTAATTATTATTCTGTTATTAAATTATATATACTGCTCAGTTATTACTTTCACATAGAATATCTATATACTGCTCAGATATCACTTTCACATAATATTATATACCATAAGTACAGCTTGAATATTACTTTAACATACCAGTATAGATATAAACAACTTAGATATTACTTTCTTATATCATTACAAAAAATCATTTTTGCATTTCCTTATAACAAAAAACTGCATACACTTTACTTTCAGATTCTTTAACGTCAATACTAATTAAACTATACATTCATATTCTTTTACGTAAATACTACTTAAACTATACTTCTGGATACTTTTATGTAAATACAACTTAAACTATACTTTCAAATACTTTTACCTAAATACTTCTTAAACTAAACTTTCAGACACTTTTACGTAAATACTACTTAAACTATACTTTCAGATTATTTTATGTTAATACTACATAATCTAAACTTTCAGATTATTTTAGGTATACTACTTAAACTATACTTGCAGATACTTGTACATAAATACAACTTAAACTATACTTTCAGATACTTTTACGTAAATACTACTTAGATTAATTCAAGGTATTCAAATATAATGAGTGCATTCTTTAAACATATATATTAAGCTACAGGAATTCAGGTTTTTTATAAATCAAAGTATGTGAAGCATTTATTATATTTGTCAATTCATATACATTTAAGATTCAATTTTTTACATAGAATTATTTTTAAGTTCAATGACAATTAGAAAAAAATATACTTTATTTAGTATTAACATCTTTATTTTAATAAGGAAGTTCAAAACAATGATTAACGATTTTCATTTCCTAATTTAGCATGTATATTTAATTAAGTCATTAATTTGTTTTTTTTCAACTGTCCATTCGTCAAAGTACATGTCAATATAGATCGTAACTAAACCGATACAAAAAATAACAACATCGCTCACTTCAAATACATTAGACATATTACTAGTATGACATTCGTGACGTAATGAATTAAAGTATTTAAAACATGTATAAGTCACTGTTAAATATTTTAAATAAAACTGTTTACTATCTATATTTAACATAAAAGGTCAAAGACGGTGTAGGCTGTATAGGTGACATGTTAATTCGTCAATTTTTCGACCAAATTACTTTGATGTACAGAACAATGCTTGTATTGACAAATCAGAAATCGCGTGTGGATAAATCCATTGAAAATACATTATTGTAATTATATGTTCAAAACCACCACAAGACAAATTAAAACGTCAGAAATACCATAAAATGGGCACATGTTTATTGCCGCTGTTTAAATGACATTATTATTGTTAAATATTTCGTATGTAATCAAAAGCTAAAATTTATTGTGTTGCCCCTCCGTTCATTTTACACGATGTGTTAAGAAATTCTATAAACATTATTGGAACGAAACGGCTCGCAGGAGGGTACAAAAATTGCTTGGTGAAGAAACTCTAAGCATAGCTTGTTTGGGGGGTGGGGGGCAGGTTTTAACCCTGCGAGCAATGCAGACCAAAATCAGCCGACAAATCCGTGGTATTTGATCATGGTCTGCACTGTTTGCTATTCAGTGTCAGTGAAAATATAAGGTTAATTTTGCAATAACAACGATAAAACAGGACTTTTGCAAAAACAACGATAAAACAAGACAGAGCAAAATGTTTATAAATTTAAGTGGACATATATCTATTACAATTTGTACACGTTGGAGTGACCGGTGGTGATTTATTGTAAACTCGTGCTAATAAAGAACAAATATGTGCACTTCCATGACATTATGATGGGTAAACATACGTTTAATTAGTCTTGCATTTTTATTTTTTATAAGATTTTTTTTGACGTGTGTCTTTGTTAGGAAACAACATTGATGAAAGTTGATATATGTTTCTTCCTGCTTTTATTGAGGTTTACAAATGTCCAAATATTATTATTTCTTCATCAAGGTACATCAATAAATATTAGCGTCTATTGTCATAAAGATACAGAAAAAAAATGTCATATTTTGTTTTCCCGAACGTTCAAAAGTTTATTAAGAAAAATCAGTACATGATATTAATGGAAAGTTAAATTATATAATGACTCATAGATGCAATGCTTTCAGTAAAGAATTTTATAAAAAGATTCGAAGCACGTATAAACATTTGCAAGTTCAAATCTTAAGTTAAAAAATGACATCATCAACAAGTAATAATTTGAATTTAGAACCTAATAGGTCATTCATTTCTTTCCTCAAAAATTGGTGCAGATCTATTTTCGATACATTGTTATAGTTTTCTTATATTCCCGTCATTTCATTGAATTAAAAAAAATATTACATTTGAATATTTTATAAAACAAAAAAAAAATAACTTACGGTGTCGGGGGGCCTTCATTGACTAGCCACGATATGCGGTCGTACAGTGAATGTTTTTCATCGATATCCCATTCTGGATTTTGACGACCGGAGAATACATTCATACCAACTTTGTACCTGACACCTGAACAAGTTGTGTATATTCATTAGTACAATATAGAAATATCAAATATTGAATGTTTTTAATAATTGAATTGATAATTTTTTAATTCGTACATTGTCGGTGCAGTCCATGTGTTTGAAACATTAATGATATAATATATACAGACATATCAAATTTTGTACGATGTAAATATACTCAATAAATATATGGCACATTATATTTTTTTTAAAAACTGCATGCCTCTTAATACAAATACATTTAGGACTGAAATCTAATTAAAATTATGATATATATTTATAGCATTTTAGTGACATTTATTAGAAAAAGATAGTGTATTGATAAAGTGTGGTCACCCGCAATCATAAAAATTGTGTTAAAATTGACAACACATATATTAACCACATTTTTTTTATTTCGACGGTGCTCCATTTTTATAGAAACGACTGTATAATAAATTGTTATATATCATTATCATTAGTAGTAGCTTTAGTGACACCAGTGGAAATATTTTTTTTGAGGGTTATTGGTAAATAAAAATGAAGCAAAGTTTAATAGAAAAAAAACGTGCGCAAAAAAAATTATAAGAAAAAAAAACACGTAAAATATGACAAAAAGGAATAAAAAATATTAAAATAACATATATTTACTTACCAACATTGAGAAATGTGCATTGGACTAGTTCAGAAAATAAACAAATTCCAATGACAAAAAGAGACCACTGTACACCGGTCCGCGCCATGTTCGCGTTTGAAGGTATGAACGCCGTAACGTAAGAACGGAAACTAACGTGTGATTAATGACGTGCCGTCATGTTTATAGTACGGCAAGCAATTTAGGAAGGGGAATAAAGCTTTCTAGGTGACAATATGACAATTACAGGTTTACTGCCTTCTTAACAACTTTAGGGTCATTAAAGAAGTGTATACACGCATATAATATTCCGGACACTGCAATATCTTAGTATATAATTTTTACACTTATTTCTACATTTTACATAGAGAGACAGCTTGAATACATCATTGCAACATTCCTTTAATATACCATAACAGTTACTTCTTGTTGGGTTTAGTAAAATTGTTCTTCTATGCACAACAATGACATTGCAAATAAATAATTACTTTTGCTGTATTTCATACAGATGATAAATATATGTGTTTTTATCATACAATTCTATTTTAGATTCATACCAAGATAATATAGTACAATCCGTGATATGATTTATATTGTAGATAGTAGTCTGAAAATTTGAAGTTCAAGGAAAGATTTTGTTAGCAAATAAAAATGGGTTAAAACGCAATTTAGTTGAATATACAAATATAACAATAAATAAAACGTATATGTATTGCGGATTATGAAGAATAAATAACTCATTTATGGACAATTGCAAAATAAAAAATTAAAAATACTCCAGTATAGCTTTTTCTTTCTTTTTATCTCAATTTGATTTTTGTTGTTCATGTGATTTTCTTAGGGGGAGTTTGTTGGTTTAATTAATTTTTTATATTATTTATTGTATCTATTCTAAAAAAAAATGTTATCATTATTTTATTTTATTTAAAATTTATTTATTTACTTATCTATTTTAATTTATTTATTTATTTATTTATTTATTTATTTTATCTGTATATTTTTTTTCTTTGCTACGTCTTTACAATAAAAAATATCTGGTTTTCGGAGTAGATCTGATTCGCACTGATTTATAATGACAATTTAGGTGTAGGATTTAAGACTTCTTGAAGGTACGGTTATTACAGTTAGAAAAAAATCTTGAAAAATCTGTCTTCATTCCTAGCATTTTAACTCTGTATATGTGTTAATAAACGCTTCTTTAAATGTATCTATTGTTTAACAGAAGGGAGACTCTAACCATATGTGAGCACATGACTCTCATAAAATTTGAACACGTGGCTCTGACCGAAAATTAGAAAGTAACTCTAATCGAATATGAGCATAATGACAATTTCCGAACATAGGCATGAAACCCAAACCGAACATCAGGACGAATTCGAACTGGAATTGAGCACGTTATTGTAAACAAATATGGGCACGTGGCTGTAAACGAAAATGAGCACGTGCCTTACGGAATATTAGCACGTGCTTTTAACCGTGTATAAGTTTCGTGACTCTAACCGAATATGAGCGTTTGTCCGGAATTACTCCTAGCTTGGAACTCGTTAACTATTATGAAGCTGCCGATACTTCCTAAAACGCTAATTTAATGAAACAAAATGGCGGCAAAAAAGTATCGTTGGTATTACTTCGCATCAGTGTAAAATGTGCGTAGCTTTGCTTAATAGTGTCAGAAGAATTGTGGAAAGAGGCGGAAAGTTGCAAAGGAGCTAAATGCGAATAATGCATCCTTATCCTCTTTCAAGAAAGGCAATAAGATACGTAACTTCCTTTGCGTAAAGAAAGTTATATTGTATAAATATTGTAAAAAATTCATCTTGAAAGAAAGACAAATTAGTTACTTTATAGTTTTCGAGGTCCTTAACCGGAATGTGGCGGAGAGGGCCGGAAAGTTGCGGTCGGAGGCGGATAATACTTCCTTATCGTCAAATTGTCTCTATAAAATACAGCTTTATTGTATATATATTATAACAAATTGATCTTCTTTGAAGACAGAAAAAAATAGTTATTTTTCCCTTATTATGGTAAGGATGTCCTTTTTATGACAAAATTATGTTACCTTTGACATACTGCAATGGATAGGAAAGCATAACAATTTGTTCCCATTTTTCTTACATTAGCACGACTCCTTACTAATACTTCTTAATAAAGTAGATATGCGACAAGATCGGAATAAAAGCTTTCTGTCCACATCAAACTATGAATTAATAGAAATATCAAATAATTGGTATACTTGCGATTCTTTTTTTTTTCTTAAGACGCCAACGTCCTCATTTGACGCCAGGGTCCTTAAATGATTGAATTTATTCACATGTCCTTCCATCTGATATTGATATACGAAAATGAATATTGAATCCCTGTTAAGATATCTTACAAATAGCCTTTTTTGTCGATATTATGTGAATAAATATATATATATATGGAAATATTCGTACATTTTTTGCGTTTATGATCGTGTAACAAATATTCATTTCTAATAATTGTGTTAGTCTTTGAAAGTTTTGTATACGTTATTAGATACTTAATGTGTAGAATAAGAATGTTATGTTTATATGTATGTAATATCGTTAGCATAGGTAAGTTCTGCATGTATGTTTTGTTTATTATTTTGTTAGTTTAACACAATTGTGTTAGTGCAGAACTTTGTTGGTGTAGCATAATTGTATTAACGTACCATCATTATTTTACTATAGCATAATTGTATTTGTCAGTGTAGCATAATTGAGTTAACATAGAATAATTGTTTAACTGTAGCATAATTGTACTAATCAGGAAAACATAAATATGTAGCATTATTGTGTTAGTGTTACTGTACAATAATTTTGTCGGTGTACCATAATTGTGTTGGTGTAACAAATTTGTATTAGTGTCGCATAATATTTAAATGTTCGTGAAGCATAATTGTAGAACTGCGGGAAAGTTACACATACATTCTTTGCCTATATTTGTAGGTTTAAAATATTTTCAAGTAGCGAAAACTCACTTATGCAGACGAAACACTTCATTGTAGTTGTGTAGCAATTGGCTGAAATTAGGTGTCAGATAATAATCTGTCACCATGTCGCTGTCCCAAACATTCCTCGGCGGAAAAACAAAAAATGCAACATGTGCAAAATAAATGAGCGGTGATTTGTCTAACGTAGAAAGAAACAGGTTATTCGGGTTTAATTATTGCAGTTGTGTCAGGTTACGTGTTTGTTAAGTCACTTCCTGTCAGTGTTATTTATATCTAATTAGTCACCAGACTGGAAAAGACATATGTAAATAAACAAAAAAGGTCATTTGAATACACAGGTCATTGACATAACAGGTCGATATGACATAACAATTTACATAAATTGATGGTTGTTGGGACAAAATCTGTCAAAAGTATTCATATTTAGCATAAAGAGATGTGGTTACAAGAAAAAAATAAAGGCCAGTTGCGCATGCGCGATCCTTTGTGTCTGACATTTTTTTCTTGGGCATGTCTGGACAATTAACAAAATAAATTATCTCCGAGTAAAAGACAAAAAAGAAGAATGAAGAAAAGAAAAGAAAGAAAGAAACAATCAAAAAAGAAAGAAAGAAAGAAATCAAGATAAAGAAAGTAAAGAAAAAAAAATGTTTTAATATTCCAAAATTCCGATTAGACCTCTGAATCAGGTTTTTAATAAACTTAAATTATTGAAGGAAAAAACCAACAACAAATTATCAAAATATTTAACATTTACCGTGCTAAATGTATGGAATGGATTCGTCCTACTTTGAATTTGGGTCAAGCTATTGTTAATTGTAGGGGTTTTAGTTTTAAAATCTAAAACGAGCATAGAATGCAGAGGCTAGTTATACTGCAGATCTAGCAAAATCAGAAAGCTGGAGTTGTTACAAATTATTAACTTAAAATGGCCCGTTTATTGGATTTCAGAATTACAAAATTTTGTTAAAAATGCATAAATGAATAAAAATGTGCATATATGCTTCATTTCTAAAATTGTAGGGGTCTTTTTTGGCATTGAATTTCGTGTTTTCGGGAGAGATTTTTCTGAAGTTAAGGTAAGACGCGTTTAACGTGTATTTGATAAAGGGAACAAATTTAACTTATCTGGACGGTTACTAGTACATGCATTTTCAAAACACACATTTTTATATATCATATATATTTTGAAGTTGTTTAAGAAACTGTTAGCTGATGTTTGTTTCGTATCTTTCGGGAATATCTTAGCTATAATACCTGAAAATTTAACTATTTCGCAGAATTAATACCAACGATTATGCATAAGCATGCATCACGTAAAATCTACGAAAAACAATACAAGTCTTTAGTCTATGGAGGGCGATCGTTGCCAAAGTTCCAGACATGCAATGTGTTCCTTTTGAAAACTACTTTTGAAAATGCGAACGTGTATGTCTAGCATTTTTTATTGTATTCGTGCACAGCAAATGATATGCCTCTTAATCCAATCTTTTAATTGAAGGCACCCGCTTTTAAATAACAAGTTTACATGTAAATTTTAACAACTGACCTAACATGGAGAACAACAACAAAATTTACAGGTTTCGTATCTTCCATTGCATATAATACATAAGTATGTTTTTCACACTTGTAGATATCTTCTGTACCTGAAAAATACAAAATGAAATGTAAAACTCGAAAATACAGAAAATAGAATTTAATAAAACGTGTTTCCAGTCGTAGAACTACAACAGTAACGTTTACAACAGTTACAATGTTTAAAATGACACAAAAAGTAAAGATTCACAAGTTAAACGAATTTTAAGTCATGCATGAGACGCCCCCCCCTCCCTGATATTTACGATCTTTCTATTACGGAAAAATGTACAGACAGGTATATTACCCGTCGCCTCTCTCCTATTTCTCAATAAAGTGAAGGAAAACCCGGCGTCCCATTCTAAACTTTTCTTTTTATTTCTGTAAAAAGTCAAATATTTTTAGTGGTCAAATGAAAGAATTACTTCATAAGCTTTTCCCTATGATGCCCTCTGAAATAAAACTGAATTAAATAGAATGTATTGAAATTTTTTGTTTTCAAAAATTTTCATTTTTTCCTCTGAAATTACACTCTCGAATTGGTAAGAAAAAACACGGTAACGTTCCCTCATTTGTTTTTTTTTCGTAATCAATTTTGATAATTTTTTGGATTGAAATAAAGGTGTGCTTTATACGATTTTATGAAATATAAT